GTATATTACATTGCCTTATTTTTTATCTCAATTGCTAATCCCCGATTTATGCTGTAGGTTCGAAATTACCTAATCTCAGAGAAGTTTTCTTACAGGGAATATTATTTTATATTATCTGTGTGGGGTGAGGTGATATAGATATGCGAAAATTTGTATGGGATCAGAAATCTAGTGTAGAAAAAGATTATGGGGTAGTTAGTAATAGATGTAGAAATAAATTATCTGTAGAAATTATTCTGAGAGCAAAGAAATAACTTGATGCTAGGACTCGCATTAAATGGCCTTACTCCCTCCCTCTTTGATAGCATCATTACTTTTCTATCATTTTCTCACTATATAATAAAGTTTTGACTTAACGTTCATGATAAATAAAAATGTAATTACTGGTAATTTGTAAAAATTTTCTAAGTAATAATGAATATAAAAGAGGTATGGTAAGCCAAATGTATACTGGAAAACAGCATGCAGGGGAAGGCCTTGAGCACGCATGACTCAAGGACATCATGCCTTGAGACTGATTCCATACATCTAACGCAGGCGAACGCCAGTAGGTATACTAAAGTATTCTGGATACTAACATGCAGGGGGAAGGCCTTGAGCACGCATGACTCAAGGACATCATGCCTGGAGACTAGCACCAAATATCTAACGCAGGACGTAATGGCCATACGCTCGTAGGGACGCGCTTGACTTATCGAAAACTTGATATACCTGAAACGAAATTGATGTCAGGATTTTAATAATCACGATCACGGGTAGATCTGCAGAATGCATAGCTGATATAATCAGTGTTGGAATTGGACCAATTGGACATATAAAATTTATATTTCCAATTGTCCAATTCAAGCAATTGGAATGATAAAGTTGCCAACACTGGATATAATCAATCGATGTCGCGACTCAAGACGTTCGAGTTGATTATTAATGAGTACCTTCAACAAACGGTATATAAGAATTGGTCAATTGTTTCTTTACTACAATATATCGAATCAAAATCTGTATTATCTGTTGATATGATCGAAACCCTAAAAACAGAAATGTATTCAGTCCTACGAAGTTTTAGTGATCCTAACAGCATCAATCTTCATGAGAATGCAAAAAAAAGAGCGTGGAAAGTTTTATCAGAATTTGATAAAGCATTCTCCTCAACTGCCTTGAAAAATTTTATTGACGGGTTAAAATTAAAAGATGAAAGAAGGGAATTCCTTACAGCATTTTCTCACAAAATAACATCGATAAATGCATTACAATCACTAGAGCAGGGTTGGAAAGTACAGTGTTAGTACAATGATTAGTACAATTAGTACAGTTAGTACATTATAATAATTAATATAAAAATTAGTACAAGTACAGTACAAGTACAGTGTTAATTTTATCTAGTACATACAAAATTCCCAACCCTGCACTAGAGGTGAGTTTTAAAGCAAATATAAGAATGATTACATTGCAATGATCTTATGAGAATTCTATTAGGAACAACGTATGGCAAAGGTATTAATTGAAAATATGCGCAACGAAGATGTGAGAGGATCTACCTCTGCTATAGATGATCATATAAAGCGGAAGCCTGATGAGTCTCATTCTCCGGATAATGATGAAACGTTGACGAAAAGAACGAGAGTAGAAATCGAAAGTCAAAATACAACTATTTATGGTAAGAATTTTATTGTCAATCAATTTGGATAATATGAAACAGACATACATGTACTTAAAATTATATCTTCTATCAGATAATGATGAAATATCACCGCTAGTTAATATTAAAACATTAACTTCGCCAAAGTCTTCTCCTGTCGAATCTGAAGAAATTAAAAATAGAGACACAGATGATCTTATTGGATTCTTAAAAAAACGAGTCTTACATTTGAATGAAAACATTCAAAATATTATGCGATCAGGAAATCACTGGTTGTGATTTTGTCAAAATGAACAAAGAAGGTTTCAAGGAATGCAGTTTTGAAACAGGGCCATCAATGAGACTTGCGGATGTTGCTAAGGAGCTTAACAACCAAAGTAAGTATTATTGTGGTTGGAGTACTATGTTGTCATGACGTAAAAGTATTGTCCTTATTTTTACTTTCATGGAACAATGAAATATATATTCTAATTATCTACTCAATTTAACAAGGTGGACCTGAAGCATACCAAATTCAACTTGTCTTCCTTTTGGCAGGAAGTGATCATTGAAAGACTACAGGTAATTCAGTATCAGCGTTAGCTTCTAAGTTATTAATACATTTTTTCCTGAAAGAAACATTTTATAATTAATAATAGAATAAAATTCAAAG